GCTGGATGTGGTCCAGCACAGTTGGCACACTTAGGTTGACGCTTCGAGGTGCATTCTTTGTAATCATGTGCATCCGCACATACCTTGCATCTCTTGGTTCCCCTGCAAGTCTTAGCCTTATGCCCATATCTCTGGCAGTTGTAACACCTCACCGCCGGCTCAATGTATTCCTCGACAGTGTGAACCGTAAAGCCGAGAGCAACTTTTTTTGGCAATGGCATCTCATGTCTAAACTGGACATGAGATGCCATTACGTATGGGCTGCATTGTGGCACTTCCATCTTCATTTCTTACCCATCTCTTTTGTCGTGTGACTGAGATTACTCCAGCATCTTTAAGATATTCCAGTAGGTCATAATCACTGTATTCGAGTGGAACATCTCTTATTTTTGCTAGGGTCTTCATGTAAGACTGAGGTATCATCACATGTACAGGCAATCCAGCCAGACTCTTGATCAGCAGCAACTTGTTTGCCGAGTACGAAGACCGTACTCCAACACAAAAACTTCCGTCTCTGTTGATTCTTGATGATGTCACTTTCTCATTGATAGCAGAGATTATCTCAGATGCTATGCGACTGGGATTCACCTTCCAAAAGGAGTCCTCGGCAGCGATTGGTCTGAACACCACCGGTATCCCCGTAGCTCGGTTCTTGTGATGGGTGACCACCGTGTAAGCTCCCTCGTCTTCCTTGGGTGCTTCTGTATCCATCTGTGTCATGTCATTAAGGGAATACGTCGATGTAGCGTCATTGTTGTCAACCTCTTCTTCCTCCTCTGTACGCCTCTTCTTGCACTGCGAGGCCTCGCTGTTCTCTGTATGGGACGTCGATATTGTTGCTGAGCCTGCAGCAACTTGAAGTCGAGCGGGATAAGTGATTGATTGATTGATTTGTGGGGTTTAACGTCCCAAAACCACCATATGATTATGAGAGACGCCGTAGTGGAGGGCTCCGGAAATTTCGACCACCTGGGGTTCTTTAACACCCAAATCTGAGCACACGGGCCTACAACATTTCCGCCTCCATCGGAAATGCAGCCGCCGCAGCCGGGAATCGAACCCGCGACCTGCGGGTCAGCAGCCGAGTACCTTAGCCACTAGACCACCGCGGCGGGGCATGGATAAGGGGTGCTCGGCTTGGCGCTAGCGGCATATCGTTGTCCCCCATACCCGGGCTTTGCCAGGTATGAGGCACGGGCCCGCTAAGGGGCAATTCTGATCGCGATGCGTAGTGAAACTCTGACTCACCGATGTTTAGCTGCCACTCTGGAGACAGTCCACCCACCGCACACACTGTAAAAAGATCCTGAACTCAATATAATAACTGAATTAAGAGAGCGAAATGAAGCTACGGGCGTCTTCCATTCACTTCTTCTTCCTCCTCCCGTCATGGACTTCGATATCAGGTCAGTTAGCTATTACACACTTGCGTGGGCGAAGTGTGCCACACTGAGCGGCTTCGTCTTCCAAGCTCCTGTAGTAGGCGTGTCAGCGGTAGACTTCGTTTCATGCGCTTAGCCTGGTCGGTGGTATCACGCAACCTCATTGCAATAAATTCATCTGCGTAACGATGCCTTTGTAATCCCCGAGCACTTTATTGAAGGCATTCGGTGACCCTTCAAATGTACCGTTTGTTCATGAAAAGAATTAGGTTGTACGCACTTGTGATGATGAACTCGTGTAGATGCATCTTCATGACAGGTCCTTGCTAATAATAATAATAATAATAATAATAATAATAATAATAATAATAATAATAATAATAATAATAATAATAATAATAATAAATATTTCGTATTATCAATATTTTTATTTATCAATAAATATTTGCCTAACCTACACTGATCTGCACAAGGCTAGGTCAAAGTCAAGCTGCATGGACACGTTTCAGCTTCTTTGTTACCCATCTAGACAGAATGCTTGAACGCTCATTGAGCGCATGTTGGTTCGTGGTGATGATTTAAAATAATCATTTCATATCAGTGACACACGATGAACCTCAATCATAAGAGCATGGCTACAAGAGAGAGAAACGACAATGGAAGAAAGGGATGCTAACCAATCTATAGGCTACCATTGGCTACCCTATACGTGGGGTGAAGGGCCAATAGCCGAAAGTATAAAGAAGAAAACTCCAGGCCTGCGCGGAAGGCGCAGCGCACTCACAGCGAAAGCGAGAAGAGCTACCTTCCGTAGCCTTTTCTAAACACCCATTGAGTAACTGCTGGAAGCACACTTGCTTGTTGCCCACTAGGCAAAAACAATAAAAATTTTAGGGTAGTAGGCCAGCATTTGCGATGCTATTTTTCGTAATTCTTCTGAGAAGCGTGGTATCCGCTAAACTATTGCGAATAATTTTGTGTCGATTGTTCATGTAGTGGCTGACGACGACAAGGAATTATGCCTGATGTGGGTATGCGCCACAGTTCATAGCTGAACAAAAACAAGCTTTTGCAATGGGTTGGAGCATTGGACGAACCAGTCGGTACGCTATTCGCATATTGCGACGACTGCTTGTTCTTTCGATGTTTTAAAACGCCTTATTACTCATACTAACGCGCTTCCTTTCTCGACATCAAGCCTGTCTAAGGCAAGTTTGCGCAGAGGTCCCAAGCCCCGGCGTAGATCAGTGGTAGAATACAAAGCTGGCACCCAGAGAATACGAGTTCGATCCCCACTGTGTCATTGGTACTCGGTTTTTCTGCTGATTTTGCGCGATGTGGTTACGGACACCGATGGTAGCAGTGGCGGCGGACAACTACAGCGCTGCGAGATACCCTAGTTATGATCTCATAACAGCTTTCGCTGTAAAATAAGGTCAAGAAAGAGAAGGATGAACAGTCAGTTTGAACCCAGACAACGCGAGATTACCCTGTTAGCTCACAGGTGCTCGCGAAATGCGGTCGTCCTCAAGAAGCACAAAGCTTTTGGGGCGTGCGCATGTGTGGTACCGTAAGCCCAAGGTCACTGGATATTCTTTTCTGATAGTGGTCTTGATTCCAGACGGCAGAGCGTGGCTTCCATACCACGTCGTTGAGTCTGGTAGGATGGGCGGCTTCCTAAAATGGGCTCGAGTGTCTCCTCACAGGCGCATAAGTATAGCATAGTTCACTGCTGGCTATTCTAAAGAAGTATACCAATCAGCATTCGCAAAAGGCCACACCCAACCACGTGTGACATACGAAAGTTGCATCGCGTCGTGAGTACCCGGATGGCGTACAAAGTTGCATATTTGGGTCAATCGAAAACAAGCATGCGTTAAAGAAAATCTGCCTATTCTACTGTGAAAACAGGATGCGACCAGCGTTACAGTCACCGTACGGCGTCCGTTCTCAAAAGCGGCATTGGTGTCCGCAGGGTTTGGTTGTGAGCCGATCGTGCAGCTTCATCCATGCGGTCAATACCGATAATTCCGCAATGCCTCGGCTGTCACTGAAATATATTAGGATGACCTTCCTCGAGGTCTTGGTGGTAGTTGTGCCTTGTTTAATAAAATTGTTCGTGTAATAAATGCCGTAAGGCAAAACCACATTATTTGTAAGGCTGTTCTCAAGTCGCAAAAGATGGCCCATCGACGGACGACGAGAATTTCGGAGAGTTTGTGGCTTTGTTTGACGCAATTAACCTTAATGAAAACCAGCTGATATAGAAGCCAAAAAGTATAGAGGACGCTAAATGTGCTGTTTGAGATGCATCGTAATAATTTATTTAGATGAGAAAAAAATCAAAGTAGACAAAAGTAAGTGTTGCAGGTTCGGTCTCTCCCAGTGACAAGCTGTTCTTTCACACGCTTTATTTTCATGAGGCCCACAGTAGGCGACAGTGTGCTGTTCAACGCTGCAGAGGGCTCATGTTTTGAGATGGCTATGGTTCTTCAAAAATAAATAGAATATAGATTGAGGAATCTTAATAAAACAGTGTCTTGCTCGTGTGAATTAGCCCAGGCCTTTATTTAAATCATCTCCGCCACATAAGTGGACACGCCACAGGACTAGCCAACCAGCCGACCTTGACCGCCGAAATAACGGACCGTTCTACTGCTCACTGTTAGGCTTCATACAGGAAGCAAGTTTGACGTATATTAGTGACACGACGTTGTACTGAGCCTAAGGGCAGTTTTTCAGAACAAAAAAAAAAAACTTTGTGGTGATTTTTTTTACCAAACACGGCAGCATGCGCCAAGCTATGTGAACATAGGTGAATGAGTTTCAGTTTGCAAAACTCAATGTATATTGCATGCAAACACAACGTGACAGACGTCAGTTGGTACGCGCAAATCGTAAGTATACTTGCATAATGTATGGAATAAAATTTTCTCGGATCTGTCAGTGACAACTACAATTACGATTACTTCTAAGGACGTTGCTGTAATGAGGTTTATTATTTCTGACACTCATATCGGAAATGCGTCCCCACTTTGTTATCGTGGTGGCAGTTATTATTAGTATCAGTAGTAGTCACTATTTACTTACGCAGCCATGTATATTTTGACAGGCTCACCTATACTGGCCTTTTTTGAAGCGGTGTACACACACAGTTAAAATATTATTATTAATAATATTAGTTTTTTATACAAACCAACTAGGATGTGACCACTCGGTACGTACACGGCTTGACAAGAACTTCATTGCTTTCTTCAAGATTCCGTCTATGGGTGTGCTCTGAGCGGGACACTAATCACTAAGCGGGGCGCCAAATATTTCCTATACCGTCACACAGCCGGACCTGCCCCGTAATTATTAATGAAATGCAGTGCCATTGCCATGTAGTTTTTTTTTACAATTACGGTGACCAAAGGCAGGCCGTCATGAGAACCATGTAATCGTCGTTTTCAGTTTTGCCTCTATTGTGATAATTTTTTGTTTTTTTGGACTCAACCATTCAGAGGTGGCGAGGCAGATGCGGTAACTCGTGCCTTACACCCCCCCCCCCCCCACCCTCCATGCTGCTACCGAAATGTTTGGGAAGTGCTTGGACTGGCGAAAAGAGAGGCCTGGTTGAACAGGGTATTCAGTCTTTATTTGATAATTTGGTTACATTGTCGATATGTACAGTCTTGAAGGGGAATGAAAATAGACATAGAGCATGACCCATTCCAGGTGACGCGTGTCTTTATTTACAAGGTGTATCGCGCTTTGGAACGAGTTGACCTGAGCGAAAGCTCTCGGGTTTGATAAAAAAAGACCAAAGAGATGATAAAACGGTAACAAAGGAGTTATGAGACAGCAGGTGCAGGAAACGCTCGCCACAACTGCCACGTTCGCGGACACTTGGTAGCAAATACCTGCCTCGAACTCGCTAGCTGCTGATGGCACCATTGTAATGATTCTTTTTGTATGCGTCTTCGTCGCCGTAATGTCTCTTTTTTCCCCCGCAAGGTATGGTGGCACGCTGGTTACGCACGAACTTTGGCCTGTGCGGTTTGCATAAACTAAGATTCGCGTCAACAAAACATAAACTATATGGCTCCAACAATGTAACAACTGTCTTTCACCACGCCGTCCGGCTTATGGTGAAAAAGAACAATAAAAATACATTTCTTACGTGTAAACACTCAAAAACTTAACCAACATTCTCTTAGTAATCACCGTTTGACTCAGAACCGACTGTTTCACTTCACCCTTTGCGATCACCGGGGGAAGCGCGCACAAACAGAATTGGAACATTAGGAACGAACCGTAATCGGATTCGTTAAGCTCTTGTGTGCGTGCGAATACAGATTAGACGGCGCCCAACGGGGCCCAATTTGACACGGTTTTATTATCGGGATCCTCGCTCTCAGATCATCGACGAAGACACTATGTAGTACTCATGTCATATAAGCCGGCAGCGCCTAAGATACACGAAGCTGGGACCCCATTCTCGACGCTCGAAGCGGAGTCATAAAAATATCTTTGTTATGAATACCCCCAAGTGGGCTTTAGGGAAAGATTTGGATTTGTTCAAAACAGAAAGCAGTGTTCCGGTAGACGTGGCCAGTGTTCAATCAGCGACCTGAACCTATAATTATCTTGGAATTAGCAGAAGTTAAAGGTACTACACCATCCACGGAATTGTCTGGAATGTATTGTACTCTTGGCATAGTGCTCATAGAAAAAGTGATGTGCAGCGAAGTAAAAACCTTTCTCTTCACAGCGTTTATAACTGTACTCTTATCCCATACCAACTGCGTGAAAAATGTGATTGTACTGTCATCAATAGCTCGAGACGAGTTGCAAAGGAAGTGGTGACGTCGTTGCGACTATTTGGTAGGAATTTCATATATAATCTGCAGTTAACCATGGTTCTCTAAGGTACAAGAAGATTCAACCTTCTCACGACTGCGAGTACCTTACTTCTATAAGCCCGGTGCGAGAAAGGTTAACTGCCATCATACGAGGAGCAACACACAGACCTACGAATGTATGTGGAGAAATGTAAATCTCATTAAATTCAATTCACTTGCGACTTCAACCTACCTATTTTCTTTATTTTAAACTGCACGCATGTCCCACTGACTCGAAATGCTGATAAATATTGAAGATTTGAAATACTTTGTTCTGTAAGCAACTTTATCGACACGAGAAACTTTATTCGCGTTATAAACCCAACAATCAACTTCGATGTTTGGTAGTGTTGCTTGAAACACATGCTTTTTCACTGTTGTCTCTTTTGTTCTACAGCGCTTTGCAGGCATCATTCGCCTATTGTATACATGGCAGAAGGCTTAACAAGGCAATATAGTATATGCGCAATACGCCAGCAGGGGCTTTCGCCAAGAAATTCTTCGGTCAATGTTGTTTATCTGACCTGGTCAAATTAGAGTTTTGGAAAACAGTGCACACTCTTGATAGTATGGCCACTAGAGACGTTTCGTCGGGGTCATTTAGTCCCACCGGCAATTACTACTGGCAATGGTGCTATAAGATTTGTGAATGTTGGTGCATCCATCAGCGAAACAACTGTTGCCAAATTATGCTTCGCAGTGGCTACTTAAGGCGCGCGCTAAATATTCACGGTGAAGAGGCATCCAAAAGCTACGTTGCGCATGGGCCATTGCAAATGAGTCATTTGCGCTTCTTTAGCGTGCTTCAAGCAATCTGCTCAAACAGCGTTCCACACCGTCACAGAAGTGATCCTGAACCCACGATGCGGATACATAAATGACCTCGTAGTAACCGAGTGCACAATGCAGAACTATGCGCTACTATAGCTACCTGCGATGTGAGCCAGCTCGCTGCTTATGGAACAACAAATGAAAAGAAGGCCCGTAGACAGCGATCGTCGAACCTGACCAATCAAGGGCGTTATGAAAGCGTGCCGTGCCGGCTATGGAAAGAATGACTGGTGACGCGGGAGCGAATGAAATGAGCGAACTTTAAAGCCTCCTCCAGCCCCTCGTGAGAGCGAAGTCTAAAACAAAAAAAGGGGGGGGTGAAGGGGACAAAGCGTTACTGCCCTGAGCAGGGGCCCGCCTCTGTTCGCGGTGCGCCCGCGGTCACCTTCGATAGCCCAGCGGACGAACGCGTAGATCTCTTGGAAAGCGCAGAGGCACGAGTGTGGCGGGCATTGCCGCCTCCCGTGCTTCGTTCTGTGCAGAGTCCTTTGCTTTCTAGAGGCGACACTCGGGCGGCAGGCGGTTCGCGTCGGTGCTAGCTGCTGCTGGCGGTTGAGCCTTCTCGCCCAGTATGGTGATCTTGGTGCAACTGGGCAGTGGCAGTGCCTTGAGCACGGGCTTGGCCACCTCGAGGAAGCGGCGTGGGCATCCCTCGCGGCCGGCGCCGTTCAAGCCCAGGCGCTCGCACATCAGCTGCTCGAGGGAGTGCAGTGGTGCATCGGCCAGCACGCTGCAGATCACAGCTCCCAGGTAGCCGAGCACGAAAAGGCCGCAGAACAGGAACAGCTGCAACGGAAGGAACAATCGTCATTATTTGAGTCAAAATATAAAAAACCACAGGCAATGCTTTGTAAACTGTATACGTATCGTAAGCTCACAGTTGGGCAATACTGGAAAAATACTGACCAGAGCTATTTGCAAAGACTGAAGTTTCAGTCTTCAAATATGAATGCAGTTTTGCACCTATATTAACTTTTCAAACGCACACACACACACGCACGAAGTGACACATGCAAAGGCTCATTTCCCCAAAAGCAGACCGAAAGAGCAATGCAAACTCCAAGTACTGTAGGGAAGATGAATGCCCGCGCATTGCAGTCACATCGCCTCGTCTGAGAGAGACGTAAGCTAGATATTGCCTGGCAAGCTCTTCTTGACACGCTGCCTGCTGCTGCTCTGTCCAGCCTTTCAATCGCGGGCTGCTGGGCGCAGTGGTACATTATTCAGAAAATTCTCCTGTAGAAAACTTGACCTAATGAAAACGAAACCTTCGAAACTAAAAGCAGGAAAGCTTCTGTTCTTCGTGCTCAAACTTATTCAGTGCAAGAATATGTGGAGAGTAAAGAGCCACGCAAAATATAACAAGTATTACTTGCCTCAACAACCACCGTTCATAAAATAGTAGGACCTAATGTATGGTGATTTCAGCTTTAATCGGCGAAAATTGTAGTACCGTTTGCAGTGCATATGCGTGATCACTTCTTTTGTCACTATTATTGAAGTTCAACGTCGACAAAATTTCCATCATAAAAGCTGCAGCCCACTCGATGAGTACGTATGGCCAAGGTTCAGATTCCTTAATCTTGAATTTTTATGAACGGCTCCTTGCTTTTATTATCAACGCTGGACTTGTGCGGCCATTTTATAGCAAGTGCACTTCTTACAGTGAGAACCATACTAATCAGTCTTGTTCAGTAAAGGCGGGCTTGCTCTTTTAGGGACTATTTGTTTTCGAAGCTCTACTTAGATTTAAAGTTTCAATGGTCTCTGTTGTTAACACCCCAGAAGGAATTTCACTTGAATGAACGCTCCTGTTGACAGCATATTCGCATCCACAGCTTTCAGCTGCTGAAGTGTCGCGTTCATCTCAGTGCCCAAATATTGTCGAGTTCGAGAATATCAACCGAAAGAAACTATCGCTGTCAGTGTGTAGCTCAAATGGACGTTCTAAATAGTGACAGGGATTGGCTTCTGTATATTCTTTATTAGTGACACTCTTGCTTTGCTTGAAAGCCCTGCTGATCGAGTACATACTTCTGTTTTTTTTAATATTCAAATGTTTTATAAAAATAAAAAAATGTTTTTTTTGTTTGACTAGAAAACTATATTTGAAGTATCAGATATCAAATAATAGATTAAGGCTAGGACGAATTAGATAATTGTCAGAATAGTTAACTATAATTAGGTAACTTAATTACTTCATGGGAAGATTGTGAGTAGCTTAGATTGTTGCAGCACCTGACGGAGAACATACCGACCAAGCGCTACTTTCTACGTTGCCTCTAAGATCTGCATTGAGAATGCGCGAAACAAATCAAGGAATACACCAGCGCAAATGAACACCGATATTCGAGTGCCACTACAAGACACAAAAAATGAAGCTTAGGGTCCCCATCGGCATTTTTTCTAGCACACATTTAAAATATCGGGTGGTCTCCCTAGACAAACAGACACGTATGATAATACAAAGATACGAGAAAACCGCTTACTGGCTGTGTTGCGTGACTATGGAAACGGATTTAATGAGTTCATTTAGCTGACAGTTCATAAGGACTTGCTACAGACGCGCCTGAGGCTCGCTCTCAAAGGGCGATTCATACTTGGTATGCGCGCATTATATGACAGCTCCAAGTCCTTTGTTACGTGTGATTATGAGAGGCATTTAGTGGAATCAGTTATTATGTATCCGATGCTCGTAGCTAGTCGTGGCAGAAGCCGGCTTGTAGTAGGAAGCGGAGGCATTTTGGCTGCTAGCCTACACGTGTCCAAACCCACACCGTAACCTGACAGTGATGCTGAACCAGTTTTGGCCTACGTTAGCTTCTAACTACGTGACTGTAAACTTGAACCAGATTCTAGATTACATAGTTAAGCAATTTAATTTCGAAAATACAAAGACATTTTTTTTCGTTTATTCTGATTTCTGTTAAGTGTGTAATTATACATATAGGCTAGGTTTAATTTATTTTTATTTTGCGCATTAATTTAACAGTTCTCTATTGCTGTTGGCAGATTATCATTTGGTGTGTGGGCACAAGTATTGCATGATTGAGACTGCTATGGATGTTTTCTGTCTCTCAAAAACACCTTTGTTCGTTATTTCACTTTGGGTGAAATACAATTCTTACTGAAAGTTTTCATTTCTTATGTTGGGGATAGTTTCCTCACTTCTCTCGCGCAATCTTATATGAGAAACTCCTGCTGACTGTCCACGTCATTGAGCACTTACAGTGTCGGTGACATTGCTTCGACTCGGGACTGTACGTCGGGTATAGCCCTTGACTAGAAGAAAAAAAAATTAGAACGACTGAAACATTCTATCTATTTCGCCACTGGTCCCTGTATGCTGCCACAAACAAAGGTTATGCACAATTCTAAAGATTTTTTAAATGCTGGAGTGGAAGCTATCACAACTGATGAAGCCGGCCCTTGCACAACCTTCATGTCAGAAACAGACATTTCTGGAGGTGCCGGCTAGCAATGAAGTTGTTTTGATGTGTTTATGTAAACGCTTCGTTGTTTATGAAACAAAATATTGTCGTTATTGACGAAAGTAACATATGAAGATGACCATACGTAACTTGGCATTTATTTGAGTTTACCAAGACTTTGAAGTTTCTTTGATGAAACCAGGAACACAGGTACAAATCTAGCAGTATCTGTCCAAATAAAATTGCCAAACTAAACTCGATGGAAGTGGGAGGAAAATGCTCCCTTTTCCTGCCTGAATGATAGCATTTCTCCTGCCTCCTCTATACGATGGCCGCCGCAGCCACCATCTTACGGGTGAGAGTACGGCCTCACTCCTGAGGAGTAATTACCACTCCAGCAATTATTTCAAACCATCTTGTCGTGATAACACGTGGTAGTATTTGTCCTACGGCACTTGCGGCCATATCCGTCATGGTGGTCACGTGGTTATGGTGGGCGACAGCTAACACGATGGTCGTTTGATCATGTTCTGGTTTCGGCGGTCGCATCCCGCAGTAACCAAATGCTAGAAGCCCGTGTATTTTGATTCAGGTGAACATAAGTGAAACACGGATGGAAAAATTTCCGGTTTGTTCCGCTGCGGCGTCCCTCATATTTGTCTTGTGATTCTGCGGCTTAAAGCCTGAACAGTTACTTTTAGTAATAATAATAATAATAATATTAGTATTATACTCACGGCCATGAGCTGGTCGGCCTGGACCCTTTCTCGGACGTAGGCTGTGAAGATGTTCTGCACGAGCGGGTGCAGCAAGAACACCAGCGGCGCCATGCGGCTCAGGGGCCCGAACGCCGGCCAAGACAGGAAGTCACCCACCAACCCTGCGTCAAGCTCCAGCATACAAATGCTTCTGCGCACACACGCCCATTGACGCACGGGCTCACACGAGCACGCATGTGCACACATAGGCATGAACGAAGGTTATGCGTTGGCCGAACAATCATTGTCCTTCGTCGCAATTTGTTTATTCGCCTTGCTTTCAAATTTCCGGCCTCACTGATCGATTGGTGGTTGTAAATTGTGCCTTTTACTTTTACTCTTGCGATATAACAGAAACTTTATTGGGTAGGCATGTCGCCAGAGCTTACGTAGACTTGTATTCGTCAAGACAGTGACCAAACGCGGTGGCGAATAAAAAGCACGCTTGTCGAAACGTAGAATACGTGGCCATTGCCTATCCAATATTTTTTTTATACTTTCAAGCCTCGACCTTCTCCTGAACTTCTGGCCTGCTGCGATCAGGAAATCTTGGCGTACGTCTAAGTAATTTGATCTTGGTCTCCTGACTAGGTGTGGCATATAGAATGCCCGAGTCACAATGAGTGATTGATTGATTTGTGGGGTTTAACGTCCCAAAACCACCATATGATTATGAGAGACGCCGTAGCGGAGGGCTACAGAAATTTCGACCACCTTGGGTTCTTTAACGTGCACCCGAATCTGAGCACACGGGTCTACAACATCTCCGCCGCCATAGGAAATGCAGCCGCCGCAGCCGGGATTCAATCCCGTGACCTGCGGGTCAGCAGCCGAGTACCTTAGCCACTAGACCACCGCGGCGGGGCTTTGTTATTTATTTATTGGCACATAATGCAACCCTACGATTGTAAATCGCAAGAGTGGAGTTCAAGTCAACATGGTCCTTCACACACATTCAGCACAAAGACGGTGTTTGTGGCTGTAAACAGCAGCTACAAGTTGCCCACGGCGACGATGACATAACTCCTAGCAGGGAAACATACTCAGCAACTAGCTTCATCGAAAACTTTGTCCTTAAACTCTGTCTTCATCTCATAGCGCGGAGCTTATGTCTACGTAAGTGAGGACTGCACCGTCAATTGGGTGTTGACGAAGTAGGAAAGAACTTAACGGCAGGCAAGCTTGGCACTGCACATCAAGCGTATGATGAGATTTAAACAGCATTGCCAGGCCCAATGAATATTAGTTTTGATTCTCGGTTGCTGCTCCGAAGGTCGCAAGATGAATCGCAACAGTGGTGATCTCAATTCAATTAATGCGAAACGTTCAAGGCACGTATGATGTTCGACACCACTGCACATCAAATCCCACCAGATGTTCTAAAGATTCCGGAGCTTTTCATTATGCGTGCCTAATAATCATATCGTGGCTTTGCCACGGAAAACTCAAGTTGTTATTATTGCCGAAAGATAACACTGCATATGGGCAAAAAGTGAAGGTCGTGAAGCCCACTGTTCAGGTCCCAATTTTAGAGGCCTCATGGGCGGGTTTAAAGAAAGTTGTTTCAAAATATATCTTTTTTCCTCAGACGCACTAAAAAGAAACAAAAACTGTGAGTAAATGTGTTCTATTTAACTGGAACCACGAGAAATTAATTATCCAGCCGCCTGAAGCTCTAGCTGCTATGAGCTTCTCTTTTTCTTCAACAACCCCAATACTTTCATTTTTTTCAGCAAAAGTGCGGTTTTTGTGGTTGGCTAAGTTTAAATATTTTTATTAAATTAGCGTCAAAAACAATAAAAAGCAAGACATTAGAACACGAGTGCAATAGTGGCATAGTTTATTGAAGCACATAAAGCATACATGCACCCTTCTTTAATGTTAGGGATCTGCCACCTGCTGTCCCACACTTACTAATAAAACGCACACACACAAAATGCGGCAAGTTCTCTCGCGACCGACAGCGTCAGCTTTGAAGATGACGCAATTGCACTGTTCTGTGAATAGGTTCCGCACACACACGTACGCAACTACTCGAAATCCCCGCTTGAAAAGTTTGCTGTTCTCGCTCGCTGGTCATTTTAATTAATTAGCCCCAAGCTCTGCAATTTGCACAACGCTAATGAGCACGCCCGTATCGGAAAAGCTTAAGCTGCTAAGCCTTCTTGCCTTAGTTCCTCACTCTCGATAAATAAATAATGTGCTAACAACAGCTGAAGTGTGCGCAGCGGTCTCTGTCTTTTTTTTTATCATCCTTCTTTTTTACCGTAATCCTATCTCACCGGTAACGTGAAATAATGCATCGCTAACGAATAATGGGCAGTTAGGATTCTGCTTTTTTCTCTTTTTCGTGAGTCTTCCTTTTTTTGGCTTTTCATTAGAGCTTACAGGAAAGTTTTCTCACCCTTTTTTTTAGTTTTGCTAGAGCTAAGCATCACCATGCAACGAAACAACCAGAGCAACCTAATAAATGAAATGCTTGGTACAAAACCTATGAAGTGATGCTCGAAAAATTGAGCAAAATGGCTTTGCTGCGCGTAATATTTCTTTAGTTTTTTGTTCACTCTGAATTATTTTATATTGCGTCATTCCTGATTGTAGACCACATTGCGTGGGCTTTGCTGAAAGCCCAAAGTTAAACGAATGAGCTAGATCTTCTGAATGACCATGCACGTAACCCGAGGTTCAAATTTCTACACGAAAAACTTTAGATTATGCTTTCGGCATCTTTTTTTTTTAATGAAAGGACACCTCCTCGTGCGGCATAAAAACTTCTCGTGCATAATTCTTTTATAGACAACTGCTTCATTAGAAGCTACGAGAACAGTCGATGTGCATTTCTTGATGAGAGTTTCATGTTCCTACATTCGTGTATAAACCTTCATCGATAACATAGCGGCACGTGCAGTGCAGTTCGTGTCCGCTTTGTACTGCGTACTCACGTTCCCAATGCCTGTTCTTTCGTTAAATTAATTTATTTGTTTTCGGTGGTAAGTGTCCATTGTTATCACAAACGTATTTCCAAGTCGGTGATGGTGGCTAAAAGTATATCAGTATGTTTTAAGTTACTTTGCCTCCTCGTTTTAGGAATTTGTGGGTTGATATAGGCGAACAATTTACTCATATAAACTGGCCAGGCCTAGAGAGTTGACAAAAGCGAGCGATTGTTCTGCTTTATAAAACAAAACAGAAAATTGAGTCGACATTTGAAAAGAATTCAATTTACACTATGATGCATGCCGCTCGCCCAGTTGACGCTGCAGTCGATGAGCGCAAGCGAATGTTTCATTTGTTTCACCCAAAAAGTGTTATAGATCAGTGCTTGGCTGGGCAGCTTCATTACGTCAGAGAATCACATAGTTTAGGAATTTACGTGAAAGGGGGCAAAGAAGGAGCACGCACAAAAAGTAGGAAAACTTTGAATGTTTGCCTCCAGCGTTATTTAAAACGTGGCACCGTGCGTATTAATCCGGGGATTAATAAACGAGAGCCCTTCGCGTGCTCTTGTTGACAGGATAATCCTAACATTGACATAACCCGACTACATCCTCCTTGCGCAGCTAACGATAAAAATCCTGAAGCACTGAAGTCTCTTCTTGAGCGCGAGCAGCGGTTCTTTGATGTCGATAAAGCTTTAGTGTGAAGAAATAAACTCGAGCAAAAAAAACACAGAGATTTCATGAGTGATTTCATCCACAAAAATTTGATCCACGAAAATTCATCCACGAAAAGCGTGGATGAAAATGTAAAGTTTCGAGCCAGAAGAGAAGGATGTTTTTATTTTTACTGATTTTATCTGAAAAAAAAATGATTTATAACTCGAATGACCCTGCCAGAAAATTCGGCCTAGTGAGAAATGTTGCGTCGTTGAACAACAGCAAAATCTATGTGGTACTGTTGGCGCGTTCATACATTATTTATAGTGCAATATTGTATGACGTCGACAATAATAAAATAAAATAAGGCAGCGTAATAAGGCAGAGAAGTTTTAGTATTAGCTTTTTCTGCCTTTGCCTTCGATATCACAGGCATCAGTAAATTTTTGGTGTCAAGCGTACAGACTTCTTTATATAGAAACATGGGTCCACTGATCATCCTTGCTGGCTCATAGGTATTAGCAAGCGAGGTGGCATAAGTGGCTGCATTATATCTTTTGCACGCTTCTTCTGTACATGCAAAAAACGGGATTAAGTTGATTTACTTGAAAAACTATGCACCTTGAATATCACTCTTATTCACATCACTACCTAACCGATATAAACCAAACACGAAGGAAAACGTTCGTTTATTGCTGGTCCTGGGATACAGTCTTACGAGTTGTCAGTGCGTTTTTTTTTCGAATATTACTTTATGGAGCTGTAGTAGTGCGGTTCTTTTTTTTTTGGTTAATCGATCACAGACGTCAATCGTTTCGTCTCCATTCTCGCGTCTCAAGGTATCGGCAACAAGTGCTCGCCGTAGTAATTATGCATCAATATATCAACAATGACACATACACTTAGCCATACTCTTCCGTTAAGATGAAACGATAGTGACCGGTAATGTTCAAGAAAGTTATAGGCATCGTGCAACCCGATAGCAGAATTGACGGCCTGCGAAGGCTCGACTTCAACCTTCTATATTAGACGGCAGCTGACATCAATTGTCCAAGTTCTCCCTCTCCAACCTCAGCTCTTCCAAACACACTCACAGAAAAAAAAAAAACGTGTCTGACAAGGATGTAGTGGAACCGACAGCAACCAGAAACTGAATTCATTTTTTATTATTATTCTTATTATTTTTTACCGCCTGACAGAAAAAAAAAAACTTCGTGGTGACTCCCGACCCATGGTACTGCAGGTATTACTGGCAGCTGGATAATTTTTACTTGTTTATTTATGCTCCGATTTTTTTCGATGATGCAAACAAAAACTGATTTGAAAATAGAAGGACGAAGCAACTTCGCACGGGCACTCAATTTTCGCTTCGCGTTTTGTGGTCGCATCGGCGTTCGATGCCTTCTCGGTTTCAAGTTTCGTTGGCGGTTCCGCAGATTCCGTGATGTTAGCGAATAGGAGTGACTCTACAGATGCTCCAGCAATGTCGCTTTTTCTACGCTCTTGACATGAAAAGATACACTCTT